ATGAGCCACAGTGACACGAAAGTGAGTCATTTATTTGTTACATAATTGAATGCTATTACCAAGTGTGACTTACAATTTAATATTTCATTACTTAAATGTTGTTTAACTCTTTGAATCCTATGCTGGCTAAAACAACTAGCTCATTACAAAATGCATCTAATAATTGAAAAATTCCAATTCCTTTCAATGTTGAGCAAGTTGGCCTGAATACCAATCTAAAATCTTCCCTAGTACAGTAAACAAAACAATTTCAAATCAAAAAAATCTGAAACGTTTAAAATTTTATCCTCTTGGGAAAAACAAARTCACTCTTTTTCATCAGGACATTTTTACAATTCTTTTTTTTAAACCTTGACTCAAAAATAACCCTTACGCAGTAAAGTTCAGACCAGGCCCTTGCTTTTAAGTCCTTTCTTTGCCATCAATTCTTCCTACATGGCAAGCAACAGCAGTTTTCTTGGAGGTATTTTGTTGCTACATTGCAAAGCATTTATGGGAAATTCCAGAAATTTTTGAAAGGGGACATGGATGACCTCATGTTATTTTTTATTTTTAAAACTATTAACAAAATATCAGCCTCATAGCATTATCCAYGAGCCAAATATTCATATAAAAAACTGCCGCATGGCAAACTCGTGTTGACCTACTGAATCCTTCTATTTTGCACTTTTTAGATACTGGGTTCCCTGTGCTCCTTTTATGTCCTGCTGAAAATAGCRTTGCATAATGAGTGTTACATTACTCCTTACATCTTGACCTTCTTATTGATGTCTCATCTTGTCTGACATTTTCACATGGATGCATTATTCAAACTTTTTACTTATGCTGTGAAATGAGCAGATATTCTATAAAAAAAGTTATACATAGAATAYGCTTAGCATATAAATGCTTGAGGCAAAAAATGGCAAAGTAGGTCTTGGCTGTCCAGCTATTTACAAGCTCAAAGAATAATYGCAAAACAAATCTTTAAATGTACCRTGTACATGATGTACAAATTTTTTGACACTAAAATCTCTTGTATATTATTTGCTCTTTGAGATAATGTGAATCWTTTTAAGGCCCATTTYTTTAAAGACCCCCTACCCCTAACCCCTGGAAATTTCAATTTTCTTCCATACAAACTACGTAATTTTTGTTCTCTCTCTGACACCAACCCCAACCCCCCACCCCCCCTCCTTTGGATATTCCTCTGGGGGTGGGTATGGATAATTGCTCTAATTACACAATACTGATTTAAGCTGTCTTAGAACTTCATGATGCAAATTAAAATGGCTATCAAAATTTCYAGTTTTCAAAATACCTCCAAATCAAGCCATTGTTGCTTCGTACGAGAAGCGTTTCTTTGCTGAAATATCAAATGGTGAACTTTTTACCTCATTTGCATAAAACACTGACAATGTCAATCAATCTCCAAATATGGTTTGCCAGCTATAGAGCTTACAATAGGTTTAGGTCTACAAAAACACTAAAAAACCTTAAAAATGCCCATGAGCCAAAGGTTTAGTAAAAATGTAAGAGTGTTTCTTTCATTAGAAGAGATAGATAATGAGTCTTAGTGCCATGTTGAGTTTTATGAACAAGGAGGAAATTTTGAGTACCTGCGAAAAGGGCAACAAGAAGCACAAGCCGTAGGCAATGAGTAGTTCCAGAAATTATCCATACCCACTCCACAGGGGAATTTGGAATTTCCAAAGAGTGGGGGGTCAGAGAAAGAAGATAAATGACAAATTTTTATGGAAGAAAAATGGAATTTCTTGGTGTAGGGGGGTCTTTAAAAAATCCCTCCATTGTTAGGGGGGGGGGGTGGCTGATTTCCAGATTTCTAAAACTACACAATACATAACTTGACACAGCAAAATGAACACTTTCCTAACTCTTTTATAAATTCATTCAAATGAAACCGATTTTTCTTGTAAAATAAGGGCCTATACAATATTTGCAAACACATTAGCTTTCCATCAACATAACTCAGCACCAAGTTTTTAAAGGCAATTAAAATATAGAAAAATAATTCTTTAATCATAAGTTTTCTTATGTCTTAAACAAAGTTTTACATGAAAAGCTAATTAAGCTTATATACAAAAAGAATGGCTAGAAGTTTTATTGAAGGTAGGAGCTTACAACAAATTTGTTGATAATATTTTCATCTACAATATCATCAATGCTAAACAAAATATCCACAATGATYTTAAAATGACCTTAAACTAAACCTTAGTTTTCAATAAAATACCTTAGGGACGCCTTGGGTTTAGTTTTGGAAAAAATGGTTTTGATTTATATATTTTCAAAACTCAACTCAGTTTCAAACGAATTAACCAGAGAAGCTGATCCTGACTTTGAAGTACATAAAAAATGCTTGATGAGTCTTTTTCATATTTTAAAGATTTCTTCATAAACTATGTATAGTCAGCTTCCACCAAATGTATACATTGTTTGTGATATACTCTAAAGCGAGCAAGATTTTTCTCGTTTATTTTTGTTATTTCAATATCACAGTCATGTGAACCAAAATTTTGACAGCTGAATACTAAATGGTTCATAAAATTGCTGCAAAAATTTAAAAATTTGATTCCCAGACAGATAATAATGGAATGAAGTTGCGGCAGAAAATTAAAAATTTTGATTCCCAGACAGGGAAAGCCTTATTTCCATAGCCCCTACCATCGTATTGTATAACAAAGTAGAAACTGGTCTAAATTCCAAAGAAGTGGGGCATCTTAAATATGGCTTGAAAACTAGGCTAAAATTATGTTACTTTAAAAGCATACATTCCCTGGGTGCCTATGATTAAGCTTTAAGTTCAAAACCTCTTGCAAAAAATTAAAAATTTGATTCCTAGACAGAGAAAAATGGAATGAAGTTGCTGCAAAAAATAAAAAATTTGATTCCTAGACGGAGAAAAATGGAATGAAGTTGCTACAAAAATTAAAAATTTTGATTCCCAGACAGGGAAAGCCTTATTTCCATAGCTCCTACCATCGTATTGCATAACAAAGTAGAAATTGGTCTAAATTCCAAAGCAGTGGGGCATCTTAAATATGGCTTGAAACTAGGCTAAAATTATGGTACTTTAAAAGCATACATTCCCTGAATGCCTTTGAATAAGTTCAAAACCTCTTACTTTAGTTGAAGACAATCCTGGTACTATACACACTAACATGACTATATCAAAGGTAAAAGGTACAGTACATGAGTCTATGTTACACAACAAAATTCACTCTGATCATTGGTTTTTGTTTATATCTAAAATTCGAAAATCATATTTTTCCAAACACATAATTTGCTATTTCAAACATGCAATAAAAAAATAAAATAAAAAAAAAAGATATACAATTTTTGCAAGAGAACTACCTTGTTTGGAACTATGGAAACAAATGAACTAATGAATTAATAAAAAATAAATAAACACAAAAGATTTGAACTGGTATTGTAAACAATATGGACATTCAAATGGGTGGATTGTCTGAGTTGGRCACATCTGTACAATCAAGGTCATCACAGCTTAGTGAAGCAGTTAATGAATGAGATGGACCTTTCTAAGGAACCCTTTTTATTTTTGTCAAGAGTATCTTAAAGCTCAAGGAAATTGAATAATTATTTGTACAGGTTTTCTTACGGMAATGGATGGAAGACTTCAATTTGGTTTTCGGTGGAAGCTATGATTTTTAAAAGGAAAGTATGGCTTTGCAAAGAACAAAACGTGCATGGCTTCCTTGCAACCAACAATGTGGACAATACATCGTGTCACAGATGTCACAGTACGGGCAACTACAGTCGCGTAAATCTCAAAATCTCAATGAAAAAAACAATTTTACTGAATGATTTCTACGAAATATTGCAAAATATGGCATATTTAAGCTTACATTATGATATTTTATTGCACTTTGTATCAAGGGCAGGGCAAACGAAGGAAAAAGAAAGCAAGCTTTCGAACGCTCAAAACAAAAACTGGCTCCAAATGCTGCTCACATTTCTTCGCGGAAAAGACTTTCCAATRGTAAATACCATACAGTAAGACTAAAAGACAACTTAATCTTAGTACCATAGACATGGTAGCCTTAAGGAATAAGGTAATAGGCTCTTTTGGGGCGAATAAGAAGATKTTGCTTTAGACAAGAAGAACTGTGCATCATTGTGTCAAACGGCTCGCGCGTGTTTGTACGATAGGCAAGTGAAAGAATTCAAAAAACCAAATCGCAAAATCTTCTCCTAGATACCTAAATCTCCTTCCTATATCAAGCAAAAYACAAAAACTATATAATAGCGAAGCCACAAGTACTTTTGAATTCGTAATCTATGATTTTTCTTTCACGAAGATGCGCAAATTCAACACTCGAGAACAACAAACACGACTCAAAACGCATTTTCAGATTCTCTCTAAATATCTTCACACGAAAACCAAACCTACATCTCAGACTAACCTGTAGTCGTCTCTTGCCCTTGGCTTTCAGTTTAGGCGTTTCCTCTAGTGGACTGAAGGTTTAAAGGCAAAAGAAGGCGTTCCATATGCTTGCAAAAAGTCCTTCCTCAACAAGATGATGATCTTTTCCATAGATCAACATGCGCAGATCACAAGGACCGCGTGTCAATCTGCATGCATTAGCATACATTTCCATAATACACACCTATGGAATGCATGTGAAGAGCAGCCACACCGGGCTTGGATTACAAGAAAAAATACCATTTGAATTATTAAGTTTACCTTTTGACTCTGTTTCTCAAAAGCCGTTTGAACAGGATGTCACACTGATGAGAAAGCGGCGGAAGGTGTTCTTTGCAGTGTTCAATCCGATTCGTAAACATTCGTGAAGAAGCTTGAAGATCTTTCTTATTTGGATGCGAGTCAAAAAGGGATTTTAGAATCAGTGCCTTTCTGATAGCTGCTAGTACAATTACTTATAGAAAAAAGTATAAAAACACACAGAAAGAAGGTAAAGACTTGGGTTGTAATGACATCAGATTCGGCATCGACTTTTGTAATCGGGGATTCATCGACACCAACAAGCCAAACGAACCCAGCTCAGCTTAGTTCAGAGTCTTCAGAGGAGTCGGCAACCAAATCACGGATAACATGAGGTGAATGTTCGCGGCTTACCCAAATATAATATGTGTTTCTCATTCCAAARGAGATGCCATCTGATCAAGCACAATTAGACGTGTTCAATAAGCAAGATACCGAGTCAATTATTGTTCAACAAAAGAAGTAAAAAAATATAAATTACAAGGATTAAACCAATTTACTAACGGGGATGTCAATAATCAAGCCAGGCTAAKCTGAAATATTACTAATCAATCGTATTCTGTATTTTATTCAGGAAGTCCTTTACTTCCATAATGCTTCCTATACCTTGTTGCACCAATTAATGTCTGCTTTTTTCTATATATTACACTGAGTCGATCAATTTTCTGGGTGCAAAAAATGAGTTCCGTCATTATCAACACGAGTACAGTCAGTGCCCTTGATGAAGTTGGCCAGTCGGCAATGTACTGCATTAAAACATGAATATATGTGCGACTACGTAGCTGGTTGGTCTAACCATCAAATTCTTTTATTAACATGAAATCTTCTTCAGGTAAAATGTATCAGAAACTGAACGAACCGTCTTGTATCGGATAAGGTTATCAATGGTTAAACAGTTGCTTGCTGTCTCATTTGCCGTAAAGCGTGGCGTCGAGGTTTTAAGGAGTTGTTTGGACTAATAAATGACTACAAAATGAGGATTATAGTGATGTAGCATTTACCGAGGAGGTGTATACGTAGAGCTGTCCTTTTCCCGCCAATTCAATCAACTAGGTACATTGTATAAAATAGGTTGCCGCTAACGATGACAAATAAATCAACAGCACTAACTGGCTCCAAGCTATCGGAACATGTTACACTATTTGGCTCTCATTTAACTTTATCCACAAGAGGAAAGCACGGGTGGCGTGCGCTGCTCATAATGCCCCGCGACTTTCACCAATGTGACCCGGGTTAGAGCCCTGTCGGCTTGGTATCGTATGTTAGTAGAGTTGTTTGTTGGTTCTCTTCTGTGGTTTCTCTGGTTTAATTTCCCCTCCCTCCAACTTAAATCAACTTCTAAATCCTAATTTGATCCATTGGCTGCCTTATTAATTGACAGTTTCCCAGTGTACCGTAAGCTTTAGTCCATGAAAGTGGGTATACTGGGTGGGTATCAGATA